ATGATATCAAAGTAGTATAAAATAAAAGTGACTTGCATCATAGCATTTATTTCTGACCAAAGCATGTTAGGAAACATTAAACCTTTTAGAGGGGCTCTGAAGAAATAAATTACCACCAGAAGAACAAACACAGAAGCATGTTAATTGCCTCAATTTTGCAGTTTATTTCTTTGAAAATGTAATCGATTAATTTGTTAAGCCTGAAAGTTAAATAGTTGCACATTATGTGGTAAAAACCAAATTTAATGTTAGATAAAAATAGATTGAAGTGGTTTGTACTTAGTAGAGGAAAATTTGAATATTTTTATGGAAAAAAAGGAATGCAATTTCCTGTCATTGATAAGGTATATTTCAATATGTCAGTAAGGGAGGTATTTTTATATCCCCATTTTACAGATAAGAAAAAAATGTAGGAAATTTCAATAACTTTCCTAAGGTTATAACTATAGAAAGATTAACATTGGACATAAAATGGTAATCACATATGAGAGGAAGACTGTAACTGTGAATGGCTACCCTTGATGTAGTCCAAGAGGAGCTCTGAATATAGCCCCCAGAGAGGACAGCACCCAGAAGATGCTTTACAACAGTAGGAGATATCCAGAGGGGTCCTGGAACAATATCTTCCTCTATCTCCCATGATGCTCTTATTGGATTTTGGCTTATTTTTCTGCTTTAGCTGTTCTGGTTTCACTGATAAATCGAGTTTGATTTCATCAGTTTCTGTATCACTGAGATAGTGCTGCAAGGATGCCATTACGTGCTGCTAAGTTGAATTTGACATTCACCAAATTATTGCTTGGATGAATAACTGATGGATATGTTATATTGATATTTTAACCTGTATTACTATAGGATATCGGAAGGAATGCCCATATGGACCTGTGTGTTATTTGGGTAAGATTTTAAGTTCACTTTCCAAGATGGAATTGAGGTTAAAGCAGGAACAATCAAAATGCATAGAGGTTCTAATTCTAATTAACAAATATCTAACATATACCACAGCTTCTGCTTTGTAAGTAATCTCCAACACTGCAACTAAAGATACCAAATTTGAACACCATTTAATGTTACCACAGAATAATGTTTTCTTTATTTTTGTCAAGAAGTCAAATTATAAGCGTTTTTAAATACAGTCAAACCTCAGTTCTCGAATGTCTCCCATATCGAACAATTCGGTTCTTTCTTGTCCAATATGTTCATGGAGATGGACAGGGATGTTTTGCTTGTCAAACAAAACTTTGGTTCTGGACCCTGCAACCCTTTCCTACTGATACCTGTATGATCAGTCATGCCTCTCTCAGATGCAAACAAAGGAGAAAACATGCAAGTATTACTTTTCTCACATTGTTAACATCTCAGGAAATTGTGCTGTGAATATTTTTGTGTTTTTTATTTTGTTGTTTATTATTATTAAATACATACAGTAAGAAGGTTAGTGATAGTAGCAAAGTGAAAAGGAAAGTTGAGAGAACAATGATAGAGCTTAGACATGTACTATATATAAGAAAGGTTAAAACAGAGAATCATTTGTGGGTCTGGCTTTTTAAAAAAATTTATCCTTCATATTAATCCTTTGTAGCCTTTTTTACATCAACTAAAACTATTTTATTATTTTCACTTTTGTATGAATTTTCAGAGGAAATCCTGCAGTGTATAATCTCTTACTACAACTGGATTAAATTAGAAATCCACAGCAAAATTTCTAGAAATTATCCCAGCAAATAACTACTAAATATTTTAGTGACAAAATAAAACATCACATAGAAAAATTCAAAATTATTTTGAACCTAATCATATGAAACATATGTTATATACTTGACATTATTTAAGGAGAATAATTTATTAACACATTTTATAAACCATGAACTTGGAAACTAATTTTTCTGAATGGTAATTGTAACTCCTAGTTCTACTGTTTTTACTTTCTTAATGTATCATATTTGGTTAATGTGGAAGTAGAAATCTTCTTATTGACATTTGAAATGAATAATTCTTTGTTGTGAAGCTGTCCTATGCATTATAAGGTGTTCAGCAACTTCCCTGGTTTTTACCTTAGTAGCAACCACACTCCCAGTCATGACACTCAAAAACCACTGCAGACATTATTCTCTGGACTGAGAACCACAGAGTTAGATTTCTAAATCTAAAACTTTTTTAAGAATATATTTTTATTGATTTCAGAGAGGAAGGGAGAGGGAGAGAGTGAAATAGAAACATCAATGATGAGAGAGAACCATTGATCAGTTGCCTCCTGTACACCCCGTAATGGGGATCAAGCCCATAACCTGGGCATGTGCCCTTGACCATAATCAAACCTGGGAGCCTTCAGTCTGCAGGCCGGCGCTCTATCCATTGAGCCAAACCAGCTAGGGCTCTAAATCTAACACTTAACATTGTTTCCATTGGAGTTTAGTTAACCATTCTAGGCTTCTATAAGTATGCTTTGATAAAAGATAATGCACACCAGGAGATTCACATTGTGGTTGCCATGATGTCAACTCTAAACAAATATGAAGTATCTATGTTCAACTGTGTAAATATAGATTATAAAGAAACTCATCAACTAACATGATATCTTGTTATATCTTGTTAAACTCATCAACTAACATGATATCTATAAAGTTTACTTTAATCTTCTGGTTTATAATCTTGCTTATATGAATTTAGCATAATAATTAAAATGTGTCAACCTCCATTTATTTCCCATTAACATATGTTAATCAGAGAAGGAGGTAAGGATTAAGCACTCTATTTTATTGTGTCAAAGAGTCTACTCTCTCATCTGTCACTATCTGAGTGCCATAAACAAAACATTTACCACATTTGATATGCAGAGTTCTCCATTGTGACATGAGAAAATATAAAGTCCTTAATGACTTCAATATGCAAAATATGAAGTCCTTTAGAAATTATAATAATCAATAATTTTAAGAAATCTTCCTTAAATTATTTATAATCTCTATAAGAAAGAATTAAAAACATATTTAATGATTTCTTATTGAATATAGCCTTTAGGGAGAGAACTGAATAAGATATTAAGTAATTCTAATTCAGATCTAGAAATAAGATGATCCTTCTTAAGCAGAAATTTAAATTGATGTTGAGAAGGCATAAGCTGTTGCACATCAAGATATTGCACAACCTGCCCGGCCCAAGTGGCTCAGTGGTTGAGTGTAGACCTATGAACCAGGAGGTCACGGTTCAATTCCCAGTCAAGGCCCATGCCAGGGTTGGGGGCTTGATACCCAGTGTGGGGTGTGCAGGAAATGGCCAATTAATGATTCTTCGAATCATCAATGATTCTCACTCATCATTGATGTTTCTATCTCTCTCTCACACTCTCTCTTAAATCAATAAAATACACTTAAAACAGGTATTGCACAACTTTAAATAGTATAATAGCCCATGTACCTCATAAAAATTTACATTTATTATTCATACTAGCCTTTAGAGATTCTCATTCAACCATTAACTACATAGTAGTTAAGTATATATACCCAAGTCAGTACTTTAATGAGTATCCAATATAACCACAATTTTTTTTTTCTCCCACGAAGCTAGTTTAGTCTAGTTTAGGAGGCTCAGGATACAATGAAAGCTAGTAAATGGACAAGGCACAGTCAATAATTTCTATGAGAGTGAAAAGGTAGTCTGAAGCAATTACAACTCTAGGAATTAAAGATCTGCTTAATGAAACATGTAGCTTCTGATGACCTTAAAAATATAGTAGGGCTTGTATCATTTAAAAGGGTAGGAGTAGATGTCCTAAACAAGGCGCATAGCAAGAACAAGGCTAAGCTTGAAATCTTTGGCATTCATGAGATAACTGTCCTAGCAAGCAGCCAGGTGTTGTTGGGGAAAATGATTTGCAGCAAGATTAGAGAGGCCTCTAATGCCAGATGGAAGAATTTTAACTTTATGCACAGTGGATTAGTATCATTTTTTTAGAATTACATCATACAAGTATTTTGCAACATGGAGTAAAATAAATTTCAAATGGGAATTGGAAAAGAAAACCAGAATGATATTTCTATCAACATTCCTTTTAATACGAGACAGTATCACAGATTGACTCAATGCATCCATTAATTGGTGAGTTTCTATAAGCACTGCTTTTAAAATAGATTTCCAAATTTCTACTTTTTCTCATTCTAATTCACATAAGGTATTCCACTGTATAAAATTCATTTTTGTCCTACAAATACAGTTATGAAAAAAGCCTATTTTCTGTACATATACTTTTTATATTTAGAAAATATAGTAGAATATATATTCAAACCGATTATTTTTTCCTGACTCTTGCAGACATATTACACTATTTGTAATGTATGAGGGAAAATGTGTTATTTGGTAAGTTTTCTGATGATTTTAATCAGCCATACGACTACTCTAGTGGAAAACGGCTTAGATAAACATAAGGAGCTTTGTAGCTTCTGTCCAGCACATGTCACCTAAAATTTCTGAGCAAACCTATTAGGGGAAAAAATTCCATAAAATGGAAAACTGTACTCTAAGGTCAACCCCACCACCATCTTGCCTTTGGTTTCCCTGAGCAGGTGTGTGGTTCTTTATGTTATCAGGTACCACTGTTCCCATGCTTATGAGAGTGAAAAGATACATTTCTACTCTTTTCTAAACCAATGAACATTAAGAACTTTCAGGTTAAAAGGCATGCTCACAGTAGTTTTATTTCTCAAGCTACACATCTATTTCCATACAAACTCTGTCTTAGATTGCTAAAGTGCTCTGTGGTATTTTGGAAACGTTATCAGAAAATATTTTTCATAAAAGTTCTTTGATGATCTCTTTCAGGCATGCTGATGCAAGGAATTGAAATTCACTACATAGTAAAACACAAAATCAGCTAAAGTACAAAAAGAATAAATATTTAAAATGTTCCTGTGCTTTTAATGAAGTCTACACCAAGCACCAAGCAAAGCTCAGCAAAACAAAACAAACAAAACAAGATAAGAACAATTACAACAATGGCCACTTACCCATATTTTGCAAAATTTGCCCAGTGTTTCATTATGGATCTACTCAAAATTTCTTCAGATTTTGTGTAATTTACTCTTCTTTCCAGAGGTAAACCAAAGACAAATTCAATTTCGTAACCATGCATCACTCCCATCCATTCAGGCCAAGGAAGTTTGGAGGATCGGTGTTCAAAATAGTAGAAAAAGGCATTATTTCCCAAATCTGAGAACTTTTTGGTGAACTCCAAGGCAGGGCATATGAAATTGTAATCCCCAACAACATCATCCAAGGCTTCACGGTACTTTTCAGCTCTTTGATCATCTGACCAGTCCATGTAATGGAAAAGGATGGATTCCCTTCCAAATTCACTCACTCCTCGAAAAAATATTTTTAAACTTTCTTGAAATTCTTTTCTAGTGATGATACTGTTGTTATCTTTGCTGAAACCAGGGGCACCATATACTAAAAACGCTGTCCCTTCATCTTTATTAACACCCACCAAGATCTGGGTTTTTTTGAACTGTCCAAGTTGGAGTAGTGTGTCTGGCATGTCAGTGAGAAAATCACCATCCACAATGGGGCCAAAACTTACTGACAAGAGAGTATCATAGGGAACAACAAATACTTCATTCAGAAGAATTTCCTGGGGGTCTTTATTTCGAAGGCATTTGATGATCTCCGTCTCATTTTCTCTAAAGCAACCAATAAATTTAGCTAAGGTCAATGTTCTGTTCTTAGCTTCATCAAGAGATGTTACTGCCCAAGGGGCATTAGCAGACCCACTTTGCAGAATCGCTCTGGTAAACAGTGGGTGGCTTCTAGGGGAAAGTAGGTGAAGGCTAACTGAAGCTGCCCCTGCACTTTCTCCGAAGAGAGTTACACTTTTAGGATTTCCACCAAAGGCTGCTATATTTTTTTGGACCCACTGAAGTGCCAACTGTTGGTCAAACAAGCCCATGTTCCCTGGTGCCTCTGAATTTCCTGGTAAAGCTAAAAATCCTAGGGCACCCACCCTATAGTTCATTGAAACTACAATAACTCTCTCAACTCGTGCCAGGAACTTGCCATCATAAACAGGTAACGATGATGTTCCAGTTTGAAAACCACCCCCGTAAATCCATACCATTACAGTAGCATTTTTTGGTTTAGGTACTGGAATCCATACATTCAGATATAAACAGTCTTCGCTGAGGTCAGTATTTGGATTCCACATCTCGGATCCAAGGAAGCCTGGAAAACTTTGATCTGTGTTCTGATAGCAAGAATTTGCATATTTTGTGGCATTCCAAATATTGGACCACTTGGCCAAGGATTGTGGCTTTTTGAACCGAAGTCTACCAAGAGGTGGCTGTGCATAGGGAATTCCAAGAAAGGCTGTTACTGTGCCCCCAAGAACTGACAAGTTCATCCCTCTGACTTTACCATTCTTGGTTGTAATGATGACGTCTTCTTCAGTGTGTGATTTCCCAATAAGCATCCAGAGCAGAAGAAACATAAAAAGAAGTTGGGTGCATACGATTGTACCCTTGCTCTGCATATTGGTTTCTGAAAGAGAGGTAAGTAGGAAGTTTTAACAGCCTTATGCATCTGGCATTATGTTTTATAGATAATAACAAACTAAAATGTAGTGCTTCTAATTAATTATACAAATGATGAAAACTAATAAATCTTGGACCACTACAAAGGTTTATGTAAAAAAAAAAGATAGGAAACAGTTGGAAATATTTTAGTTTTCAATTTCAAAAACAAATAGTGGAATGAAAAGTAGACACTATTTCATTTTGAAAAAAATCATTATAAAACTTTTACAAGGAAGATTTAGTATTTTATAGGGGATATTTATTTCAAACATGTATATATACTTCTTACCATACACAGCCCCACCATAAGTGGCATTTAGCGGTAGTCTATTTATTACAGGTAAAATTTCTACTTTGGTTAGAGGAGAAAATACAAGCCCATGTATTCTCTGAAATATGTACATGCTGGCTGGTTCTTGACAGAAATGTGAAGTAGGTTAAGAAGCTTTAAGGAACCTTAGTCTTTTATTGTCTTTTTCAGTTTCCATGATCCCTTCTGTGGTTCTTTTTGCTTAGAGGGTTCTTCCTCCATTCAATCTCAGTCTATGCTCAGAAGAGATTTTGGACAATCTATTCATTGCCTGTTAAGTAACATAAAATAGTTGCCTTTTATCCTATATAGTATGACAACTAACAAATCTGTTATCATTATAAGACCTATACAAGAAAAATTGGAAGTAGAGTTCTGTGTATATACTAGAAGCCTGGTGCACAAATTCATGCACCAGTAGGGTCCCTCAGCCTGGCCTGTGGGATCAGGCTGAAACCGGCTCTGAAATACCCCTGAGGGGTCCTGGATTGTGAGAGGGCAGAGGCCAGGCTGAGGGACCCACCAGCACATGATCAGGGTTGGGGAGGGACACTGGAGGTTGGCCAGCTGGGGAGGGGCCGTGGGAGGTCTCCAGGGCATGTCCGGCCCATCTTGATCAGTCCAATCGGCCAAACCCCAGTAGCAAGCTAACCTACCAGTTGGAGCATCTGCCCCCTGGTGGTCAGTGCACATCATAGCGAGTGGTTGAGTGGCCTTAGCATATCATTAGCATATTACAAATGCTTTGATTGGTTGAACAGATGACCAGACAACCAGACACTTAGCATATTAGGCTTTTATTATATAGGATACCAGTTAATTTCTCTGATATTAAATAATCAGGAGGTCTTCTCTACCTGAATTATAATGTCAATGGAGAGAACCAGTTGCTAATAATATAGCACATGGGAGAAGATGCTGATTTAGAAAAAATTTTATACTCAGGGATTATTCAATAACTGTTAATTTGATTTATTAAAGTATGTGCGACTAGTGAGGTTAAATGTGTTAGCATGGTCAATATAAGCCTAATTCACCTTCATGTTACCTATTGGAGAGTGTTCCATACAATATTCTTAAATCTAAATTTTAATACTAAAATATGCATTTGTCCACATACTCATTGTTAGTATAAGCAAATATTTGTTATATAGCTGCAGTATTTATTTAAATAAGCATTATTTTGTCCTTTTCATAATCTGTTATTCTCAAACTTAACTTGTTGCTCTGTAGTTTTACCATTAAGAGATGTTTATATTTTTAATATATGCCATCACATCATTAAACATTCTAAAGAGAAATAATTGAAGGTAGCTATGAAAATGTTAGTCTATATCTCTAAATCCTTATTAATAATTAAAATATTCAATAAGACACAATTGTTCTTTTCTTATTAATTCTGGTACAATTTGACTACTATCACATTAAATAAACACTTTGAACATTAAAAATACTTAACATGTTTATCATAAAAACTGGTGTGAATTTTCATGCTAAGTACAAAGAATTATCTGAATTTAGATCAGTTAACTTATTGTAATAATGTATAACATTTGAAAGAAAGGCAGGAATTATGTTTGGAACTACAAAAGGAAATGAATGATGGTAGTGAGAAGGGAGGAAATCTGAAAGATAAATACCATAGTATTCAAAGGTTATAAAATGCTCCAGGATATAAAAATCTACTGGAAATTTTGAGAAAACATTATAAACTTTTAAAAATATAACTTTCAAAATAAAAAAGGTAAAAAGAAATTTCCTTCATTTTGCATTTTTATTTCAATTTTAAAAGTAGTATCAGAATTCCTTGACCAATTTTCAAAAGAAAATTGTAATGTTACAGTAGAAGATATGTGTGTTAGAAAATGATTGCTATAAAGAGCAATATATACCCACATATGTTCCATAATTGAGTATCAACCAAATTTTCAAAATAATTGGCCAGCAAAGGACTTCTTAAAGAATGGTCAAGCAAATATTGGTAATAGTTTTTTCTGAGTATAATTTTCCAGTATTTTAAATAGTTATAATAGAATATATATTTCTTTATAAAAATTATAGCTCTTAAAATAGTGGTAAAACAGCTACTTGGATAATGTGATCTAGCACATACACTGCTAAAATGAATTTGGTCAAGTTAAAACAACTAAGCCCTTATACCAAACCTAGAAAGCTTGTTTTGTTGCAGGCTAAGTGAAGTGGGGAACTGAGGCAGTCTATTTATAAATAGACTATACCACTGTCTTTCAGAGATTCTTCAGATACACATGAGGTACTAAAAGGATGTATGCAGATAGAAGAATCTTTATTAGGTGTCAGCAACATAAGATCTGTATCCTCAGTCGGAAAGAACATTCACAAACTTTTCATTGTGTGAATAATTTGAACGTTTAATATTAGAGAGATATCTTGAGTCTCTTTGAAAGGTGAACTTGTTTTTAGGTTGACATCTATTCAATTATAATTCTCTTACAATTAAAGAAGCAGGACATTATAAACAAACAGTAACAACAAATCTAGGAGAATGAAACAGAACTTTGTAAATCTGATTCGAAATTTTATTTGGCATCCAAAAGGCCATGTTACTTCAAATTCACAGAGATTCTAAATATTTTTATTTAAAGGATAAAGCCACTCTCTAAAAGTTCATGTTCATCCTTAAAAAGGTAACTATTTATACAGGTGAACTACAGTTTATATTATGGAAGGAGGCATTACACAGGCTAGTAATAGTAGCTCCAAATTGAGCTTATTGTCATGCATTATATTCATAAGCATTTGAAAGGCATACTCTAAAATCTGAAAAATAATAATACAAATAGAACTCATAAACAATAAATTTTTTTTCACATTTAGTTTGCTTTTAATCATTCATACAATTTATACTTAATGCTTAATCTTCTGGTGAAACAAGTACTGACATCATCAAAATCAAGGTAAGTTTACAAGATTAGAATATGGGCAGAAGTCTATATTTGCTTATAGTCTCTATAATAATAAAAATCATAGTAAATGTAAAATATTTTGCCATAATTTACACACATATTGAAAGAGGACAAACAAGAAAAAGGGGGCACATTTTGTAAATCAAATTGGGAAATAGATTTTCCTTTTAGATATAAGAAACTTAGACCTTTCCTTTCCAACTGATACTGTTAAAGTTTCAGATGGTAAAGTGTTGATTAAGAAAAGTACCCTGTCATGCCAGACAATAAGAGAACTATTCTTTTCATGAAACTTAGCAAAAATAGAGTAAAACTAGTCTAAGACCACCTTTTTAAACTATTTTAAGGAGAAATTCACTAAACAGGGTAAACCATTTTTGCTCCGGGAGGGCACTAAGAACCTACACAACAATGATTCCACAAGTGCTACGGTTCTTTATACAAAGTTAAACAAACTCACTGTTTCCTCAGCAGTTAAATGGACTCAGCCTATGTTCCCTGAATAATATAAGGATGTGATGCAGGTGCCTGCTCACTTGCCTCATCTGTGTTTTTGCAATGACTGTCCCCCCACAGAGCACCAAAGGGGCACAGTAAACACGTGCAGGGATCAGGATCCTGCTACAGAATGAGTTTCACAGAAACTTGCATCTCTATACAAAGATGTAAATTCAGAGCAACTTACCCGACTCACTGCAACAAAAGATGATAAAGTTTGCAAGGCGTGGAAATCATGTGTTACTTCAGGGAAATGCAGTATGCAGCTGCTGCTCCAGCCTGTAAATTGGACTGCACTGACATTACAATCAACTGCTACTGACAAAGCTCGCGAGACTTGGCAGCAGCTACTAGCTCTGGGAGCAGCCAATCTTTACTTTCTGACATCTGTTCAGAGGCTAATGGTATGAATGCAATCGTGATCCATTTACAAAAATATTACCGGAATCATGGCTTAAGATTGCAGGCACTCATCTAAGACGGAAGAAATAAAGAAATAGAAGCTTCTTTAAAAGAAGCTGAAATTGAACAGAAAATGAACGTGTGTGTGTGTGTGTGTGTGTGTGTGTGTTTTAACACTACCCAAACTTTTAAAGATTTGTTTCCCTCTTTTATAGATTATATATTTTTCTTATGCTCAGTTTAAGATTTAAAGACGAACATGTTGTTCTAAAAAACGCTGTTATTGAAATCTCTGTACCTTCAATCTGTGCCAATCATAAAAGAATGTAAAAGATAAATAAGGAAGCAATAACTGGGCAGGTAAAGATATGAAAACAGAAAGATTAGCTACACTAACTGAATGAATGTCTCTTATATGTATGTCCTTTCAACCCTCACACCTCAATACTTATTTAAGTCTCAGTAATTTTCTTTTCAGGGGCCCTGCAAGCAGTCACATGTATTGAGAAGCCAGGGTTTTCTGGTCAAAACAAGAAAAATACCAAAAACAATGTACCAAACTCTATGGAAAAGACACACTTATCACCTGAAAGGGTGCAAGTTCTTGAGAATGTGTTTATGTCTTTCAGGCTTATTTTTCTCAAATTAGAACTTTGGAAAAATGAAAAACAAATTAACGGTTTAATGCCTGACTTTTCAATGCAGTTACATTCTTTATATTTTGCAAATACTAAATGCTTTAGCTTTTAATTTTCTCACTCATTCTTGGCTCACTATGGAGTAACCAGCAGGCAGTAATTGTAGGTAAACCCATTTTTGCTTTTTAATATTTTTAAGATTTCAAGCATGCAATATAAGAACTGTCATGTTATTGATTCTACCTTATGCCAGTCATTGTAATTGACAGTCTCCATAAATATTTTACTCCAACAAATATATGTGTTAAATATTATTAACCACAATATTAGTTGATGAAGCTCAGAATTATAAAGATCAGAAACTTGCTATATATCTTGTCACTAGAAGCTGTTAGAATCAGAATGTTAACCTAGATTTGTCTGATGTTATTTCACTTTAACTCTTTTCCCAAGATAACATCCATCTTAATCTCAAAGATATATATTTGGGGAAAATTGTTTCTTAAGAGATATCTGTTAGATAATACACTTCACACTTCACAATCATAATAATTTGTAATGTATTTGGAATATAGTTGATGAAATGACAACCTAGTTACACAAAAGTTGCAGAATACATGGTCCAAAGAAGGAAAAAAAGAATTTAAATAGTACATTGACAATTACGCAATGTTTTGTAAAGAGATGGCATTTTTGTTTAAAAGGTAGTCGTTCTTTTTTAAAAAAAAAATATGTTTTTATTGATTTCAGAGAGGAAGAGAGATAGAAACATCAATGATGAGAGAGAATCATTGCTCGGCTGCCTCCTGCATGCCCCCTAATGGGTATTGAGCCTGCAACCCAGGCATGTGCCCTGACCAAGAATAGAACTGTGACCTCCTGACCCTTAGGTCTGTGCTCAACCACTGAGCCACACTGGCAAATGCAGTCATTCTTATGGTCCACATGAAAAAATATTCATTAATATAATATATGTGATTTTTTATCCAAATGTAAAAATTACTCTCTCCAACACAGCTCCATTGCACTGATTTTTGGGTTAACATGTGATTGGTCTTTGTCTCAAATTCTGCAATTGTTGAGGGGATGTTTTAGATGTTAGCGAATTCAACAGAGCATTTGCTTTGCTCCTAATTCCTAATATCCACTCACTACTGTGTAAAATACATCACATATATACACATATTTTATTTTATTATTTTAAACTAGAAGCTAAACAATAATCTGTTATAAGCAGATTTTTATTTTTAACACACTTCAACTGGATAACATCAACTGGTTACAACACCTGACAATTTTTCCTCTGCTCAGGTTTTGCTTGGCTACTGTCCTTTTAGTTCATTTTCTCCCATGATTTTTTTGTCCGTGCCATATTCTATGATGCTTTATTTCAGTACATTGTTTCTTTGTCTTATTTGAGGGTTTCTTTTTTTGTGGCTGAACATACATCTGCTGTTTGCTTCTGTCCGATGTCATCATTTATGCACTCATATCCAGCAGGAGGATGTAGATCACAGTCTGTGGGCCTCATTTCAGGGTTAGCAGACAAGTGTTACCTGACAGCCTGATGGTTAGATGATCATGCTGTTAGATGTTGAGTATGCCTTGTGAGTGACACTGCTGAAATACCACACCGCTCAACACTGATTTAACTCTGCCCACATTTTGCAACAAAAAATGTTGAAGTTTAGGCAAGACAACTATGATGGTCTTGACCATGATTAATTTCAGTTAGCCTATTTCAGAGACTTGTTGATTTAAGGTTTAGTGTAACTTAATTACCACTGGACTAGTTGTTTTCTCAATAGTAGCATTCAAGGGAATTTGAGATGATGTAGGAAATAATAATTTGTAGTATATATTAGTCTTCCTTAGACACACTGATGCCACAAAAGTGCCCTAATATTTTATTAGTAGACTTTTACAAGAGAGCAATGCCTTCTTTAAAGAAAAAATAAATTACCAAAAAGTATGTTCCTACATTTTACATGTCACAGAGATAAAAATGATCATATGATATATTTTATTCTAGTTTTTAAATATATGTACATTGTTATAGTTACAGAGCTATATGTAGCAATAATCAAATAGGTTATCATAATTTTGTTTCCTGTTTTCAGTGTATTTCATATTAATTTTATTCAAAAACTTGTAATGATTTAATGATATATTATCAGTGAGTTTGCACCATTTTTTACGTATAGGATGACAATCATAATTTTAACTACTTTGTGAACATGCTGTTCTAAACTCATTGAATATATATATATATATATATATATATATATATATAGAATATATATATATATTGGATATATATATATATTATATATATATTCATGTCATATATAAACTCATTAATATATATTCATATTAATGTCTTCATTGATTTTGCAGAGAGAAGGGGAAGGAGAGGGAGGGAGAGATAGAAACATCAATGAGAGAGAAACATTGATCAACTGCCTCCTGCATGTGCCCTGACCAGGAATCGCACCAGTGACCTCTTGGTGCATAGGACAATGTTCAACCACTAAGCAACACCAGCCAGGTGAAACTCTTTGAATATATTTTAATATATTAACTTATTTAAAACTCAAAACTACCTTTTAAGTAAGTGCTATTGTGATTCCTATTTTATGGTTGTGGATATTTAGCCACAAAGGGTTTAAGTAACTTGTGAAAAATCACACAGGTAATAAAACTATCTTCTAATATAATTTTATGGAAACACTATTACAATTCGCCTTATTGTATATGGATATTTAAGTGCAACTTTTTCTCATTTGCTTAATGTGATTTTCCATAATAACTCAGTATGTCTAGTACAAAATAGTGTGGGGGTTTCTGCAGTCTTTTAAGACCTCTCAAAACTGTCAAATAATCATAGGTTTTCAACAGTTCCTGCAAAAAGAGACAATGTTCTTAATCAGAGTAAATCTGAATAAATCTCTGGAGTCAAGAGACCAGATAGTCACACCTAGATGTGGCAGGTTTTAAGGTCGATTTCTTGACAGATTTTTAGAGGTGAGCCCAGCTCTGCAGGCAATACAATTGTTTAGTAGGATGGTGGTAGCTGTTATGGAAGTGCCTACAGTCAGTGGTATCAGTAAGAGATAAACAAAGATCATTTGGAGTTAAAGGAGAGTGAATGGTGGGGAGTCTGAAGTAGCCTTATGCTATTTAGACAGGGATAAAGGAAGATCATCTAAAGAAGTTCTGGAATGAGGTTTATAGAAACCAACAACTTAACCATAATATGATAAAAAATAAAGTCACAACTTCTGAGGAAACGTGGTAAAGCTGATTTCCATCACAGTTACAAGGGCAGGAGAATCAAAGTACGGAAATAAACTCTGAAACTAAAGTATGCAGGGATTGAGCAAAGAAAGAAAAACACACAGTTTTAAAAACACGAGTAAAGAGAGAGAGAAGCAGCACTTTGCTTGTAAACTAATTTATTGAACTGGCTTAAATTTATTCTTGCCAAACACTTGATTAATCTTGGAGTTCTCCCCTCAGAAAAAATTATAAGTTAGCATGCCACGGAATCAATCCAATCGCTCTTTAGAAATCCAGATTTGGCCCACATCCTCGGGCTTGGGCTTTCACAGAGCTGGATGTGGGAGCTTTCAAACTGGCCTCCTACGTGCGATGAGTCAGACTACAGTCTGAGAGGCAGAGTCCTGGGGCCTGGCTCCTCAGGAAACTGTTATTCCATCGTGTATAAGGTTTATTTTTGTTCTCCTACTTAATCACTCTGAATTACAGCTTTTACTTTAAACTAATTTGGAAATGTGTCAAATATAATATTTTGTGGTCTACTTTCATATAATTGACATTGTCAAATATTTTTCTTTAATTTTATTGCCAGCACATTAATCAGTTTTATGGATGCTCTATAATTTACCTAACTCATTTTTGTTGTGAAGGTAGATTGTTTTAAATATGTCATGGAAATAATAATATAAAAATGGACGTAAGAGCCCTGGCCCCTGTTTCTCAGTGGTTAGAGCATCAGCCTGTGTACTGAAGGGTTTTGGGTTCGATTCTGGTCAAGGGCACATACCTGGGTTGCAGGTTTGATCCTGGCCCCAGTTGGAACGTATGCAGGAGGCAACTAATCAATGTGTCTCTCTCACATCTCTCTCTCTCTCTCTCTCTCTCTCTCTTTCCTTCCCTTCCACCCTCCCTCCATTCCACTCTCTCTAAAAATCAATGGAAAATAGCCTCAGGTGAGGATTTAATTAAAAAAAATAGACATGACAATTATAAATATATTAATATAGTTCT